GCGAATCTTGTGGGTCTGGGGCTTAACAATTATTCTTGCCGTCTCTTGGGCAAGGGCAAACGACACGGTTTCGGCAAATGACGCTTTTGGTGACGCATATGTTGCACATTTAATCTCAGGGTCACGTATGCCATTCACAAAGGTTTCGATTTTAATACGGTCCACCAATGGGTGATTCTCTCCTGGATATGCCATTAGCACCAAACGTTCCACCTCAGGTGCAAAGTCTTGCAACGTCTTGTTTGCCCTCTGCACTCTTCCCCTTAATTCCATAAGGTAGATGTTTTGTTTATGTTCGCCACCGTACTTACGTTCCAGTGCAGCAATAACATCTTCATAGTTGTTCCTAGAAGCGACAGGAATGCTCTGTATAACATCAGCAGCACTGCCCTTCAATGCCAGAAGTAGTGCAACCGCTTTGTCGCCTTCGTTCCACGAATTTCTAGAAGCCACTGTCTCGAACTGTAACTTGAAAACATTGAATGACGTAGAGCCGTCGAATACAGGAGGTTTGATTTTTAGTGTGTTATCAGGAACTCGCACCGGACCACCTTTAATTTCCAGTTCCGACATTTTCTTCTCCAGATTAGTAAACCTGTGGTCGTGGACCAGAAATTTCTCATCCACAGACAGAATCTTCTCGTTAACCGACTGCACTTTCTTATCCAACTCTTTAATCTGGACCTCCACGGATTCCACTCTCCTTCCAATAACTTCTGTAATGCTCTCGAGTTTCTCGTTCATTATTCTCGAATTTTCATCTAACTTTCTGGCATTCTCTTCGAACATTCGTCTCGTGTTTTCTTCTAACTTTCTGGAATTCTCTTCGCTCCTTCTGGAATTTTCCTCAAACATTTTAGCCAGCATGTCTCTGAGATCGTCAACCCTGGCAGCTACTGACGAGATTTCCCCACCGTTGGATTCGCCCATTTCCGATAAATCCACTTCATCCTTACTGTCAAACTCATATGTATCGATGTTCATACCACGGCGTTCGAACTCATCCAACAGACGTTTTTGTAGCTCAGCTTTGTTGCCAGTAGAGGACAATTCCAATTTATTGAGCTCCTTCTTCAAGTCTTCCACTCGTAGATCCTTAAACTTCATCGTAGTATTATCGTAATCCCACTTCTGACACCAATTGTTAGGTTCTTGGGTTTTACTAAATCCCGTGTAGACGTTGTTTTATTTCCCGATACAATTCGTACCAAATAAAACGCAGGTTCTTTCGGATTACGATTATTACAATGATTTTATTCACACAACTTTACTTTGCACTTTACTTTACTCGACGGTTTCAATTCGCGAAGTTTCTAGACGATCTGGTAACACCTAGATCACGAACAATCTACCAATGCAACAAACACACATACAAACTTACATTGAGTAAACAATAACAACAACACATACAAACTTACATTGAGCAAACAATAACAACAACACATACAAACTTACATTGAGTAAACAATAACAACACATATACAGTTGAGGGGGTAACAAAGAAAGAGGAATTAAGCGATCATCAATGATGACGTTTAACAAGAATTGTACGTCGACAAAAAAAATAGACAATGAAAGAGGAAATGGAAGGATGTAGAAAAATCTATACAGTAGTTGTTGTTGTGAAGTTATTCAAATAAACTGCGTAGTAGAAATTTACGTTACAATTCAAATTCTTAAATTAACGGAATTCATCTAAAGTAACTTAAATCTAAATTTATATTCGTAACAATATTTTGGACCAAGGTACACACATTGGCTAGTACGATTAACCAACCCAACCCAAGTCTTCATTCTATAGTACCTTCATCTGAATCTTCTGCCAGCCATTCATCTTCGCTATCCTTCAAAAGATAATAAAAAATCTGTTTGTCCATTTTTAAATTACTTATTTTTTTTCAAGCAAATATGTGTGCGTCAGTCCGTGTGTCCTTTTTGTTGAAGCGCTAACTTTCATATGCTTTATTTCGGACTGTATATCTCTGGCAATCAAATGTCAAATTCATAATTTACTACATTTACTATTTCGTGCTAGGCCAAATTGGTCTTGCAGAAAATAGGAGAAGAGAACGCCATTTTGGTTTTAACTCTCTTAAATTTAACTTCAATTTTTCCTACTTTTCGGCAAAACTAGTACAATATAGTACTATATTGCAGGTTTGGGAACACAGCTATAAATGAATTGGTTAAAATGGTTTATGTCTTTGCTATTGTCTGCCCGAAACATCGTTTGTAAACGCCAGGTAAGCACCAAGGTGTTTGAGCATCAATAATGGTTCAAAATTACAGCATATTTACAGGCGCCAAATTGAATAAGTTCGTTTAAGACCGTGGTGCAATTATACAAAACTAAACAAATAAAACTTAATAACAACCACATATATAAGTTGGATACACATATATAAGTTATTTTGTCAGTTTGATATGTCGAGAATTGTGAACAAAATATACGAAGATACAGAATAAAATTGAAAACCCGGAATGTGAATCTTTAAAATTTATAATAATATAGCTTCCACTATGAATATTTTTTATTATTTAAGGGAACCGATTGGATTATTAGTTATTAAATCATTTTGACAACATTCAATTGCCAAAATGATATAGACATATTTTGGTTATGTTGTAAGATCTATTTCGGATTTTATTTAAAGGTTCTTAAAAAACAAACTTGTGTTAGCAAATTTAATATGTATATGAAACTGAATGTTGGGACCGAATAAATAGTTCGATATAAAAAGTTCGCTGCATTCGAAGTTGGTTATAAGAGTTATGTTTTGTATACAAATATGTCTTAAAAGATATGGGACCTGGAAAAGTGTTCGCTATAGACGAAGTTCGTTGTAAACGGTGTTTGTTTAGTCGTGAGAATTCGCGAGTGTTCATTGTCATTCGTGAGCGAATGTCAGAACGAATTTCAATCACCAACGCAACGAACGATCGTTGTTGTGTGCTCTCACTCGTTTGTTATGTGTGTGCGAACATTCGTTTGGCGAATGCTCGTTTGGTGTAGAATTTATCGCTATAAATTTGAATCAATCGCGAGAGAATTTTTGCGCACCCTTACCAAGGTGCTTAAAGTCTACTCTTAAAACAAGATGGACTAAACTAATGCCCAAGCTCTGTTTAACGAATGCTTACAAGTAAAAATAGTGGAATTCGACACATAATCTGTAAATTATAATATTTTCTGACGAGAATAAGTTGTTTTTGGGTGGACCAAAATGTTATAGTTGTAACATACACGATGAACATAAAAAACATGTGGTAAGATCGAAGTCGAATTTTGGGGGGGAAGTCATATGGTATGGGGTGCATACTCGTCTGAATGTATGCTTCCAATACGTGATGTGTCAAACTGAATTAATGGATTCTAAAATGTATATTGAATTTTTAGACAAAGTTTTATTAACACATTTTTATGAAAAAGAGGGCAAAGATATTATTTTTCACCAGGATAACGATCCCATCCCAGATATCAGTATAAATACTGCCCAAAAATTTGGTATACTCTATGTCAAATCGTATTCTATATGTTATTTAAAATAGCGGTGGACATGCTAAATATTAATTTAATAATAACAACATTGTAAAGTTAGTTTTTAATGTTCAAACGATTTTCTGGCAAAATATGGCTTATTTTTAGTTATTCCAAAAAAGAGTATGAAAAATGTTTTTGGTTTATCGCCCATGTGACACATTGCGATAGTTTTTGAATTCCCATACTGTTTTAAATTCCCATGTTGTGCAAAATGGTGTGCTCAATTTCGGGCGAAAGTGCGGCTCGAAAGCATAGCTGTGTTCAATATGTTACGAACAGTGTTCAATAAAAAAACATATGTTTCAGTGGAATTCGCAATTTGTTTAACAACAAAATTAAGAAAAAAATGCCTGTTGACTTATTAATTGCCCTAGTTTCTACCAGAAAATGTCTAATGATACTGGAACGTGTTAAACGACGTCACCTTAGGGACGCATTGGACCCAACGGATATGCCCGAATCTGTGTAAGTATTTAGGATCAATATCTCCAAAGTTTTAATAGTTTTGTATCTCTTTTCAGGATTCCCGAAAGCCTGTAGTTAGCAGCTACCTTAAGATTTCTGGCTGTTCGTGGGTTTCAGAGGGTAGTGGCAAATGATTTAAGGGAACCCCCCCATAACTTATTAACAAAATGAGACATTGGTCATAAAAGGCATTTACATTAGAACTTTTTTCCGGGCTAACCTACTTTGTGAGGATTTATTTGAAATATATTCAAAGGAATTGACAATTTAAACCCACTGGGTTAACATAATCCGGTACAATGTAAACGTACTAATAGAAATCAATGGACATTAGACTGCATTCTTTGTAAGGAACACTGAAACCCCTTTGATTTTCACTATTAAAGATATTTCGTGGGATACAAACGGTTGTGTCATTTTATGTGCAGCTGTAATGCCTGCGGGTATATTAGGTTACAATTAAAACAAATTTAAAAATTCTCATAAATAAAAAACAAATGATTTTGTGAGAGAGTTTTTTTATAGAATCTCCTAATCATTAAGATTTTATCTAATCGCATGTAAAACTCTTTAAAATATGATACTTCGATATAAGATGCAACCTTATAGTCATAATAATAATTTAAAACAATTATATTATAGCTTGAAAAAAAAATCTCGATAATAGGAACCCTATTATCTTTTAACTCATAATTACACTTTAAACAATAGAAATTCTTTTATAATATTGTTTAATGTAAAAAAAATGAAAAATAAAATATATGTTTTTAATAAATTTACTAACCCAACCCAACAATTTTGCAAAATGTCAGGATATTGTCACCAAAACTGTAGTTTTTAACTTTATAGTCAAATATAAAGTGCTGTGCGATACTCAGAACCCATCTTTCACCTAATACGCCCATTAAAATGTTTTGATCAGATATTCTAATTATTAAATATTTTGAATATCAATAATTATTAAATTCTTAATTCATTAGTTTCAAACAGGTTCTTAACAATATTCCTTTAGCCTCTTCTCGTGGGCTTCTTGGGCTCTTCCAGATGGATCCTCGGGACAACCCCAATCCAGACGTGGTGCCCATTTTTCAACAGATAACGCCGGCGAGTCGCCTGGAAACATTTCGTCAAATATACATCGATAGTAGTAGGCCTCTTTCGTCTTTGGGGGATTAATGGGAAACCGCTGAGAGGCGTTTCTAAACTCTGAGTCTGTAACACGCTTAGCAGCAAACTTGGGCAATGCTTTAATCAAGTCATAGCCCACGCCATCGGAAAATTGTTCTTTTTGCCTCCACAGCACCGCAGGTGGCAAGTAGTCACTCTCAAAGGCTTTGCGTAAAATGTACTTTTCCATGCGATGGCTTTGAATGTCGGAATAACAATTTAATGGCCCTGGTATTTTGTCCTCGGGTCTAGTGGACATAACATAATCGACAAAGCTGGTATCGAGGAAAGGAACTCTCAGTTCCAAACCTTTTGACATGGTCACTTTATTGGCCCGTAGAATATCCGACACATGCAGCTGGTCAAGCCGTGTTACCATCTCTTTGTGGAATTCGTGGTATGTTGGCGCCTTGAAAAAATATAAATATCCCCCAAAGATTTCATCTGCCCCTTCGCCGGAGAGTATCATTTTCATGCCCGTACTTTTGACATAACGTGCCAAATAGAACATGGGTAGGCTGCAGCGGACAGTGGCGATGTCATAAGACTCCAAGTGGTAGATAAGATCGCGCACCCCGTCAAGGCATTCTTCAACAGTGAAAACTACTTCGGTGTGATCACTCCCAATGTAATCGGCCACCATACGGGCGTGTTTGAAATTCGGTAACTTTCATATAAATACATGTGTTCTACGTTTGTGGTGAAAAACGTCCAACGAGCTAGTTGAATTTTAGGTAGGGCTGTCATAGTAGAGTAACTTCTGGTAATGTGGACCATGCGTCAAATGTGGACCACCCCCATATCTAAGAAAATGCTTGAAATATGCCAATGCCGCCTTGATAAATGTTTTCTTAATTAGTGAAAACAAACATCAAATTTGGTTTTTAATAAATAATTGCAATGTTGAAAATTTAGTAGGTGAAAATGTAGCTCTGATTGTAAAAGTGTAATTTGAAAATTTTTTAGCACAATAGTCGAACGATTTTGTAAAATAGTCGAACATTTTGTTTTTCTCGAATATAAAGAGGTTATGTGGTTTTCTTGTTTTCTTTAACAAAAATACACGTTTATCTGTAATTACTTTCGGTTATTTTAAAATTTTTATTCATTTTTGAAGCCGATAATTATTTTTAAATAAAAATATTCAATGTCGGGTAATGTGGACCACTATAAAAAAATGGGACATTTTCATGAGGACGAGTTCGAAACAAGGGCCCATTTAATATGCGAGGAGGTATTCTATCCTCTGAAAACTCGATATCCGAAATTATAGGTGCCTCGGTTGGATAATGAAGCAAGGACCTTCAAAATACCGCAAATGGGGTGGTACCCTTAAAAGGGGGCCATTCCAAAACATGGACCCATATATTTTTGCATTCATTGTTACCCAAGAGTGCAATAAATTGAAATTTATAACAATTAATCCACAACCTACCTTTAACTTACTGATCCTCATTACCCACACATACTGGTCCACATTACCCGCCAAGTTATTTTTATTTGCAGTTTAGAGTTTTTTGAAATATATATAAATTTTGACCTGGAATATAATTAGCCAACAAATCTACCATGCTGTGAAAATAATTTGTTTTTATTTTTTACCGTTGTTATGCCCACAATATCAAAAAAAGAAAATGGTGGTCCACATTACCCGAAGTTACTCCAAAGTCTCAAAAATATCATATGCGCTCAAACGAATGTCGACTGCTTAAGGTAGGATATCTTTTGTCAACAAGGAGAAAATACACCTCTACCGTGTGGGCTATAATGTCGGAATAAATATAAACTAATTCAAAAAGCCGTTCTGTTCATTTGACATATTTGTAAAATTTTGACAAAAACACATTTTGTATACGACTTAGGCATAGCATAACAAGCCATAACATGAACAAAATTGTAATTTATAAGTTGCTATGGCCTACCATGAATAATTGTACCAGATTCATTCCCTTTTGGTTCTCATACACTGATCGAAAAACAGAGGAATAACAATGGTATAATTATTACAAGGTAGGCACAGCTACCAACTGATTGCAATTTTTTCTCAAGGTGGCTTGTTTCATCAAATCAAAATACATATTTTGTGTATGTGCGTGTATTGTTTTGAATACAATGGCAAATAAATTGAAATATATTTAAGTTTAATTGAAATGAAAATAAAGTTTTTAACACGTTCGTCTGGAAATAATTACTTTGTTATGGATGAAACAAACATTTTATGATATTCCCTACTGGATTTTGGGAAGAAATCATAACCTTTCATTCATTTTTCGCGTTTTTAGCTTTGTGTTGAAAAAATGTCATGTCAAATGTTTAATTTATATTTGGCAGAAGAGGCCACACGTGCATAGTTGCTTTTTTGTTATTCACCTCAAGCTGCCCACCTTGTATTATTGTAGCATGGTTCGGAGCAAGTCAAAATATCGATACTATGGCGGAAGGCGGGACAAATCTTTATATGGGAAATTATATCATTAGCACCCTTATTTTCTTTGAATAAAACATGTTTTTCTTGCTTATAATTAGAAATGAACATGTTTCCAATATTTGTCACAGTTTAATGACAGAGAACAGAAATGTTGAAAATTTAGTATTTCAATCAAAAAACTTATATGTATGGCATAAATGAATCCTCACTAATTATAGGTCATGTGATAATGTTCAAAATGTCGATTGTATTTGAATATCAGAATTGCAGAAAACAAAATTTTGTTATTTGTATTTATATGTCTGCTGGGCATAATGGATGCCCAGGTCATGTATATGCCAGATTGACAGATTTCATCTTATCTACATGAATTTATTACAATTTATTTATTCTTCAGTTTAACTTTGCTCGTCCACTTTATATCGAAATAAACCCGGTTCAAACAATTTTTTTATCATCCTAAAACCAATTACGTCGAAATGACACAATCACTACAGAATACTTAAGCCAGTAATCAACGCCATCAACACTTAATTATGGGTCGTCAATGATTGAAATGTTTGAATTCCCAAATGAAGCTTCGAATACTTCATGGGCAACGACACAAGTGCCGAAATATTTGATTAAATTGCTCTACACTACTTTTCTCCGAATCGTGGGAATAATGTTGTCAGCATCTACATCTATATATCGTTAAATAATTACATGTTTAATTAAATATTGGCCCACAATTTCCATGGCAGTTACAAACAATGGCAACAAAACAAGCATTTACCATTACAGTTGATGGTTTATAGCTTGTATGATGTTTATTCAAATCTGTTATTATGCACTTCACAGTACTCGCATGGCCAGCCAGAACTTTTATTTCATATCGAAATAATGTGAATAATTTTAAAGTCAAGAAAGTATAAATTCCCCTACAATGAAAACATGGGCAGAGGAATAAAATGTTCAAGGCATAGTACCATGGTACAATTATAAAAGGTAACAGCAAGTCCCAGCTGATTTGATTCCAACGTAATACTATTGTCAATATGAATTTGACAAATTATGTTTTTAAAAATCACCCAACAGGAAAATTGGGAACGCATACAATTTGAAATTGTTCTTTATTAAATGTGCTCCCGTATTCAATTTACTCAATCTGTCTGCTGGGAAAGTTTGAGGAAGCAAATCTTTCTTGAAGCAATAACTAGCTATTCCCAGCATTTTCATATGTGTTACACATATATATGGCAATGACTCAATTATAGGAAAGATGTGGAAGCGATAGAAATATAAAGTTCAAAGATTTTCATTCATGTTTTTCAATTTTTATTTTGAGGATTCGAAAATTTTTTATTTTCAAAATAAAAATAATTTGATGAAAATTTGTTTGTTTGTTTACATTTTTCTGTCAAATGAGTTGACACTAGTAGAACTTACAACAACAAATTTCCATGTGGTTGTTGTATCGTTTTTTGTACAACAACACTTGCTGTTACCTTCTATTATTATACCATGGCATAGTACAATAACAAGAGGTAGGTTAATGGTACCTGCTGATTACATTTTTTCTTTTGTGTGCCCCTGTTCTGTCAAAACAATAACTCAATTTTTATTGAATTAAAATATTTCAAATTCAGATTTAATTAAAATTAGCATTCGAGGGTAAATCTTTCAATGTTTTGGGAAGAATTCTTATTATAAATATATTTGCAACACCATATTGCAAAAAAAAAACCTTGACATTTCATTCATTTTTTAGACTACACTGGTTGTTAATTTCGTCAAGAAAGCCTACATTTAGTTATTGTACCCATGGTTTGTTCGATCTAGCTATGTGTGTCTGTCTGTCACATGGACCTACAACTTTATGTTTGTCTGGGATCTGGCTAACGAATAGGTATGACTGTTTTGATGTTAATCGGTCAATATGAGCCAATACTTTTGTGTGGAGAATTACAAAGTTTACATAGTACGGCACATATTCTTACTCGGGGAAGATTTATACCGGAAAAGATTCGATTATTTCCAAAAACATACTTGTTATATATTTCTAGTCTAGTTTTCGAAAATTCTTAACATGCCGTTTACAAAAGAGTATAGCTTTTTTTTAAATCATATAAATGATTTTTTAAATAATTAAGAAATAGTAACTTAAATGCATTTAGTTTGTTCGCGGGTAAGTAAATGCCATTTATTTACATATATATATATATATATATATATATGTCACTCCATGCCGATTCTTTCATTCTTTCCGTCTGTTCTTCTTTTGTGAACAAAATTGAAAATTAATATCAAAACATGGACAAATATTTTTTTTTAATTTTATTGCAAATTTTATTTACAACAAACCCCAGAAATACACAGTTTCAACAAATTTGTATGGGAACATTTCATGAAATCTGAAAATCCTAAAAACTCAAACCGGGAACCATTTTTCATAGTTGTTGGTGAGGTAGAAAACGCCCCATAATCGGCAAAACCAAATATAAGAACTGTTCCTACACAAAGTCCAATATTGATTACTTCTGGTGAGAATATTTGGTACCAAACGAAAGCACACAATGTCAAATTACAGTCACAACGTTTGGAAAACGTTTCTGAATCCCTAAAATACAGAATGGTGTAGATTAGTCACCAAATCAGGAATGTTGGGGTTTAACCGAAAAAGTGGGCCAACATTAAAAATAAATTATTCGTTGTGTGATTTGGCACCAATTGAGAATCCAAAATACGAAATTATAACCATTTGGGTTGAAACGCGTGTCAAAACTTCCCAAAATACGGAGGTTTTGAAGGGAACGTTTTTTGGACTACCCGAAAAGGTCGACCGATATGTGTATATATTTTTTGACAGATAGATATGGGAGCCAACCGGTTTATATTTAGATATAACTACTACATATATTTCCGTACGGTTCCATAAGTTCATTTTTGGAACGACGCGTGTTAAATTTACTTTAAATCGATACAGATTTAGTTTTTTTTGTTTTTTTTCCATAGTCATCCGGACTATGAGGGTAGGAAAACTGCCGGCTACAAACATTTTCAGTCGGTCAATATATGTATTTACTACAATATATGTATTTACTTCGATTTCTTGCCAGTGGTCCTTCTACATATTCGAACAAAATCATTAGAGAATGACGTTTTATATAGTACCCTAACTATTAAAATTTATAGTATATATATATATATATATTCAAAAAAGTTTTCGGTTCGCAATCTATATATATAAAAATGGAGCA